AAAATTAGCGGTTGTGGCGGCGCATGCCTGTAGCCCGCTATTTTGGGAGGGCTGAGGAGGGAGGATCACGTTATAGCCCGGGAAAGTTGAGGCCTGCAGTGCGCCAAAATTCCCCACCACTTGCATCAGCGCTGTGGCAATAGAGCGAGACCCATATCTCAAAAAAAAAAAAGCCGAAATACTGGAGGTAGCCCTCATGGCCTGTAAGTTCAGCACTTTGAGAGCTGGAGCGGGAGGGGGTCACTTAAGCCAGGAGTTTGAGACGGTTGTGGCTGCGCTTCAGGCCTTCTGCCTTCGCAGTCTGGCTCACAGATTAGGACCCTTGTCTCAAAACATTAGACATACATTTTTTGTAAAAAGGGCGTCGGCCACGGTGGCCTCAACACCTGTAATCCCAGCCACCCTTGGGAGGCTTTGGGGCGCAGAATCACAAGGTCAGGAGTTCAAGACCAGCCCTGGCCAACATTGGGTGAAACCCTGTGTCAATAAAAATACAAAAAGTCTAGGCAGTGTGTGGTGGCAGGTGCCTGCTATCCCAGAGCACTGCAGGAGGCTGAGGCGAGGACAATCTGCTTGAACCTGGGAGGTGGAGGTTTTTGGACGGAGCCAAGATTGCGCCTCTGCACTCCTAAGCCTGGGGACAGAGTGGAGACTCCATCTCATAAAAACAAAAAACACAAGTCGATTTTGTGGCAGCGTGAGATAGGGGCATGTTCAGGATTCTGATTTTCTCTTAGCCACAGTCTCTACCAGAATGTGTTGTTTTAAAGGGCTCTTTCATGGAAGTCTTTGTATTTTTTAGGGTCATGTGGGCAACATTTCTGTTGCAGAATCTACTCTTCTGCTGACGTGCATTAGCCATCCGAAAGTAAGTAAAGAAGCTGAACTTCAAGTTCCTTTCGTTTAGCATTGGGTAAGAATCTAGAAGGATGTTGGATCATACTGTGCTTGACATCCCAGACAGACGCAACTGGAGGAGGCGAGTCAGGAATGTGGAGAGGAATCCTTACGGCTCGTGGGATAACTCCCGGTGTAACCAGAAATGGCCTTAAACCGGGAACAAAGCATTGCCATGACCCCTTGGCTTTGTTCTGCAAGATGCTGCCCGATGCTGACCTGGGGTTCATGTAGGCCGAAGGAAATGAAGGTCTTCCCTGTAGCGTAGGGCCAACCAGCGCGAAGATGCGGCATCTCTTTGGGAGGATAGATTAGGGTGTGGCTTGTGCAGATAGGGGAGAAAAATTGGAAATAAAGAAGGTCTGCGCATATTATTCATTAGTAAATGTTCTGGAGTCTGTTTCTTCGCAGTGAAATTAGCTGTAACTGAACTAGTCCATTGCAGTGAGCCCTCTATAAGGACGCCTCTTACGGCAGTCTCGCCTCTTGTTGCCAGGCTGGGAGTGTTAGTGGGTTGCATCTTGGCTCACTGCAACCGCCACCTCCTGGGCGTCAGTGATTTTTCTGGCCTCAGCTCCCGAGTAGCTGAAATTACAGATGTGCGCCCCCAATGCCTGGGCTAAGTTTTGATATTTTCAGTTAGAGATGGGCTGCGCCAGGCCTGGGCTCAAACTCCTGACACTCAAAGTAGATCCGCTCCGCGCTTCCGCCAAAGTGGTGGGATTATACGGCGTAAGCCACTGCTTGCCCTCAGGCCTGAGTGATCATTTTTGAGTGTTTTCTTATAGATGTGGGCGGAGAGGTGGATAGAAACATTAGAAAGTTCTCTGTTATGCAGAGATTTTTTTTTCTTTTCTTTTTTTTTTTTTGATGATGGGCGGTTCACTTCACCCAGGCCAGAGTGCAGTGGTGTAATGATGGGCTCACTATCGAACCTCTGCCGCCTCGGGGTTCAAGACGATCTCCTGCCTCAGTCTCCCACGTAGCTGGGATTACAGGCGCACGCACCACACACCGGCTAATTTTTTGTGTTTTTTAGTAGAGATGGGGTTTCACCATGTTGGTCAGGCGGTGTCTCAAACTCCTGACCTCAAGTGATCCACCTGCCTCGTCCTCCAAAGTGGTGGATTAACAGCGCGTGAGCCACTGGCGCCTGGGCCCATATGCTGTTTTTCAAGGAAACATTTTAAATATAAAGACACAAGTAGGTTGAAAGTCAAAGGATGTTAAAGGACATATACCAAGCATGAGTCACAAGAATGGTAAGATTGGTGTTCTATGTTAATATCAGACAAAGCCAACTTCAAAACAAGGTATATTGCCAGAGATCATGAAGGACATTTCAAAATGATCGAAGAATTAATCATCAAGAAGACATAACAGGCCAGGCGGTGGTGGTTTACACCTGTATCCCAGCACTTCGGGAGCGGAGGCAGGTGGATTGCCTGAGGTTAGGAGTTCCAAGACCAGCCTGGGCCCAACATGGGTGAAACCCTGTCTCTACTAAATACAAAAGTTAGTCTGGGCGTGGTGACACATGCTTGTAATCCCAGCTACCTGGGGGGCTGAGGCAGGAGAATCGCTTGAACTCAGGAGGCAGAGGGTTGCAGTGAGCCAGTTGCACCATTGCACTCCAGCCTGGGCACAAGAGCGGAAACTCTTCTTCAAAAAAAAAAAAAAAAAGAGACGACATAACAATCCTAAATATAGTCAACTAATAAAAGAAATTCAGGCCAGGGTGGGTGGTTCCACCTGTAATCCCAGCACTTTGGGAGGCCAAGGCGGACAGATCACGAAGTCAGGAGTTCCAGACCAGCCTGACCAACATGATGAAATTGCATCTCTACTAAAAACACAAAGATGAGCCGGCATGGTGGCACGTGTCTGTTATCCCAGGCTACCAGGAAGGGTGAGGCAGGAGAATCGCTTGACTCTCGGAGAGGAGATTGCAGTGAGCCAAGATCGTGCACTGTACTCCAGCCTGGGTGACAGAGTGAAACTCTGTCTCAAAAAAAAAAAAAAAAAAAAATTCAGGCCGGATGCAGTTTTTTTTTTTTTTGAGACAGAGTTTCGCTCTTGTTGCCCAGGCTGGAGTGCAATGGTGCAACTGGCTCACTGCAACCTCTGCCTCCTGAGTTCAAGCGATTCTCCTGCCTCAGCCCCCCAGGTAGCTGGGATTACAAGCATGTGTCACCACGCCCAGCTAACTTTTTGTATTTAGTAGAGACAGGGTTTCACCATGTTGGCCAGGCTGGTCTTGGAACTCCTAACCTCAGGCAATCCACCTGCCTCAGCCTCCCGAAGTGCTGGGAATACAGGTGTAAACCACCACGCCTGGCCTGTTATGTCTTCTTGATGATTAATTCTTCGATCATTTTGAAATGTCCTTCATGATCTCTGGCAATATACCTTGTTTTGAAGTTGGCTTTGTCTGATATTAACATAGAACACCAATCTTACCATTCTTGTGACTCATGCTTGGTATATGTCCTTTAACATCCTTTGACTTTCAACCTACTTGTGTCTTTATATTTAAAATGTTTCTCTTGAAAAACAGCATATGGGCCAGGCGCAGTGGCTCACGCCTGTAATCCCAACACTTTGGGAGGACGAGGCAGGTGGATCACTTGAGGTCAGGAGTTTGAGACCAGCCTGACCAACATGGTGAAACCCCATCTCTACTAAAAACACAAAAATTAGCCGGGTGTGGTGGTGCGTGCCTGTAATCCCAGCTACGTGGGAGACTGAGGCAGGAGAATCGTCTGAACCCGAGGCGGCAGAGGTTGTAGTGAGCCAATATTACACCACTGCACTCTGGCCTGGGTGACAGTGAGACGCCATCTCAAAAAAAAAAAAAGAAAAGAAAAAAAAAAATCTCTGCATAACAAGAACATTTCTATGTTTCTATCACCTCTCCCCACATTATAAGAAACACTCAAAAATGATCACATCAGGCTGGGCACAGTGGCTTACGCCTATAATCCCAGCACTTTGCGGAAGGCGGGCGGATCACTTGAGGTCAGGAGTTTGAGCCCAGCCTGGCCAGCCCCATCTCTACTAAAAATACAAAACTTAGCCAGGCATGGGGGCGCACATCTGTAATTTCAGCTACTCGGGAGGCTGAGGCAGAAAAATCACTGGAACCCAGGAGGTGGAGGTTGCAGTGAGCCAAGATTGCACCACTACACTCCAGCCTGGGCAACAGAGCGAGACTCCGTAAGAGGCGTCCTTTAAGAGCTCACTGCAATGGCACTAGTTCAGTTACAGCTAATTTCACTGTCGAAGAAACAGACTCCAGAACATTTACTAAGATAATATGGCAGACTTCTTTTTTCCAATTTTTCTCCTATCTGCACAACCACACCCTATCTATCCTCCAAAGAGATGCCAGCATCTTCCTGGTTGGCCCTACCTACAGGGAAGACCTTTCATTTCCTTCCCTACATGACCCCAAGGTCAGCATCGGCAGCATCTTCAGAACAAACAAGTGGTCATGGCCAATGGCTTGTCGGTTTAAGGCATTTCTGGTTACACCGGGAGTCTCCACAGAGCGTAAGGATTCCTCTCACATCCTGACTCCCATCCTCAGTGGTCTGTCTGGGATGTCAAGCACAGTATGATCAACATCTTCTAGATTCTTACCCA